TTAAATATTCAATTGATTACAGAATAACAAAATTAAATAAATAAATGCAAAACGGAGTCAGGTTATTGTTTGAAGCGTTAGAAGTACAGTACTGTAAAAGGTTGACTTACTTCAGAATCTTTGTTCAAAATCCGATTTTTTTTCTAAGCCTCTTTTGGAATCATCTTCTTTTTTTCTATTTTTACTGAATTCCACAGATAACAAAAGTCTACGCATCAAATTCAGTCTAAGCAGTTAAAATACACAAAGGCAGGTAATTCTGTTGAGTGCCGCGTTTCTTTTCGTGAAAAATTGAAATTATCTCTCTCTTCCTGTCTCTCTTTCTTTGTGTATAAGAGGCTTTGCTCTCTTCTCAGTCTTCCACAAGAAGAATATCTATCAAACCTCTTTTACTAATTTTACTTTAAACCTCCAGCAGACAGCTGAAAATGTGTTGTGTCACGGAGTTTTCCACTACACCTGCCATATGATGACTGCAATGGACATGGTTCAAGCTTATATATACAGTAGTACAGCAACTGGGCACATGCAGCAATGAGCTCATTGAAAAGCAGGAACTCACTCTGGTGTGGTGTCAGATCAGGTTGCGCCAGTGGTAAGGGACTATAAACTGCTGACCTCATTTTGTAGAGAGAGAGAAAAAAAGGAAGCCCTCTGACCCAGCAGCTGGTGGTGATGGCATAAGGTGCGAGTGCAACAAGGTGCACATGTAATTGCCAGCCGGGTTTCTAGCTGTAGTATCGAAAAATCCACTTGACTAAGTATAGTAAGTACCCATTTGTCAGAAGGTTGTAATTGGCGAAAACTTTGGCAAGATATGTGAGAGGAAAGAGGCAGAATATGAAAAAATGAAAAAATACCGTACAATATATGGGCAGGGAGAAAGTATTTTTTTTTATTGCGAAGAATTGAATTTTATCAAATATTATGCCTTCAAAATCATTCGTCCTGATGATGACTGAAAGAAGACTGATTTATTTTTCTATTATCACTTCTGAATCAGAACTGATTTTAAAAAAAACTTGAATTAATTTTTGATTAAAAATAAAAAAGTGAAAAATTATTTATTCGGGAGAAGAAATAATCATTTTTAAAGCATTTTGAATTCCAATTATGTTCAACAAAAAAATTGTCCTTTTTTATACGATGGAGAGTATTATTCTATTTATATTCCGGTTTAACTTGACTGGATTTTTCTTCATTTCAGCAGGAGAAGGAATATAATCTATTCCCGACAATAATCGTTAAATTTTTTTTGAAGATTGCTGATACATTTTGGTGCGCAATTTTTGAAAAACCTGAAGGAAAGACCGTTTTCTTCCCGCCGTTAGGCGATATTCTTCCTATTCAGTGCATTTCTACGGAAATTTTAACAATTTTTAAAATTCTGCTGCATATTTTCTTTCATTCAGCACTGCGCAAGACAACATGGAAATAAATTCATTTTTCGTTCCAAAATTTTCAAACAATTTTTACCATACTTACAATAAAGTTGGGTCGAGTAACAGATGATTTTGGAAAAAATGTCTTACACTTTTTTTGATCATTAGAAAGGCATTTCATCTTATTTTCTAAAAACTTCACTGAAAGCTGGTCGTGGTGGTTTATATTCAGAAACTTATTTAAATTTATTCCTCGTACAACAACAGGAATAAATAACTTCTATACATTATCTTTGCTTGAAAAAAAAAGGGTTGAATTCTTGAAAGAGTGGGTATTTCGATTGTAAAATCCCCTTATTCTCGCGTGCTACCTGAAAATTCTTTTGATTTGATATTCTTCTTTAAACAACTATACAGTTATTTATTTCAATTGCAACTTCTTCCATCAAGGAAAGAGTATCACCTGTTTTCCAGCAGTGGCGTTTTAAGGATTTATTTCGTTTTAATTTTTCATGGTAGATAAAAACGTAAAAAACTTGCTGCTCTTTCAAATATTCTTTTTGGCGTTGGTTCCCGAAAAAACTGCATTATAAATTTATAATCGAAATGATGGTGGGACTAAATTTCTAAATTGATCTTGAATATTTACCTCTCAAAACGAATTTTTCCGTCATTTTTTTCTGTATTATATGCATAGACTGGAATGCTAACCCTCGTACTTGAAGGACAGACTTGCACAACATCACTTCCTGGAGTTGTTTTTTTTTTCAGCAAAAAAAATGTAAAAAAAAAAAATCTAGAAAACCTGGGTCTTTCTGTCTCTCTTTTCTCACTCTCGCAGTTCAGACATATTCTGCTCAGTGTGTATATTCCTGAGCAGGAAATCCCTTGCCTCACAAATCCTCGACTTCCTTCCAGTTTCGTGGAACTTTTTCCTCGAGATGCAGGTCTATACACAATTTCCTCGAGTGTTCTCCCGTGTCACTTATTTCTCTCTTTTCTTCACTGTGATTTTTCTCTTTTGTGTTGCTGTTTATAAATAAATATCCATTTCCCCGGCTTTGTGGATTTATTCCAGTCGTACACATTCATTTTTCGGATTCCTGCACTCAATATAGAAGCACAATATACTGTATAGCTATATATGTGAACTGAACACGAAACGAGAGACAAAAGGTTATTTCCATCGGACGAAATACATCTAAGTATGGAATATGTTCGAATAATACCCGATTTATTTCGAAGCTGGAAAACTTCCGACTTTTGCGAATGATGACCAATTTCGAAAATATTACTGCTGATTAAATTATTAGTAATGCCGCCGTCTTTTGATAAGAAGAATTAGAAGGTTTTTTGGGATGTTGATCTAATTTCCAAATTAATGGAATTGTGAGTGTATAAATCACTGTGATACCCGAAGTCTTCGGAAGCTGAAGAAATTCCGTATTTTACTGCTGATGATACAATTTCAAAAGCGAAGAAAATACAATGAAATTATATTGGTAAGGATTGCGTGATTTTAGAAAGCAACCTGAAAAGTGTCTTTTTGTGCTGGCTCAGACATGGTCTCGATAAATTCTGTAAAATAATCGAAAAGTTCTTTGATAATCACGTGAAATTTGCTGAAATGTATGTTATTCTTTGCGAAGAACTCAAGCATTTGTACTGCGGTACAAATTTTGGAACGGAAAACGAGGCTTGAACAACAATTTTTCTTTCAACACTTTGAAAGATGATCGCTTTCAGCTTTTTTTTCATGATTCGGAATCATATCATTGATTCATGTTTCCAACAGGTTTTTCTTACCTATTTTTTCTTCTCCGGATAAGAGTGAAACAACCAAGTCATCAAAATGCCGAAGGACGAGTTTGTGAGTATACAAATTAATTTGCACCCAAAAAATAGAAAAAAAACGTCGAAATGTCATTCCTTAAATTTGCAGGAAGGGATCGAAGTTGACATGGATCGCGATCAGCTGCTCAGTAAGCAATAGTGTTTATTCTCAAACTTGAAGAACCCATAATTTTGCACCAAAAAAAAGGCTCAATTCGCGTTCTTTCCGTTGTTGATGAATTTTGACAGTGTTGAAGAAGTGTTTCGATACTTTTGACCGAGAAAAGAAGGGCTACATTTCATCAGAAATGGTTGGAAACATTCTTGGAATGATGGGACTGCAGTTTTCCCACAAAGAATTGCGAGTGATCATCTCGGAAATTGACGTTGATGGTGAGAAAATATTGAATTTGTCATTTTTCGGTTCCTGCTTGAAAGTCGTCTTTTCAGAGTAGAACTTCGCCATTCCTTCCCGTTTTTATTTTCAATTTATTTTGATGAATATTCAACATTGCAATCATTTCACAGCACGAATCGAATATCGATTTAGCAGAATATAAATCAATGTTTCTCAAATACGTAAACGATTCGAGAAAAATGCCAAGAAAAATTTCCATAACTTGAGGAATTCCCAATAGGATTTTGAATGAGCCTTGAAGTGTATAAGGAAAATATTTGAGACCCTATGTGTACATCTTTTGTTAATAACCTGTGTTAAACTCCGGAATGTAGTTTGATTAAATAGCAAGTGATCGCGCGGGAAATTTTAGGAGAAAAAAAATCCAGCATAATAGAAAGTGAAAGCTTCAGAAAAAATTGTGAATTCAGAGTCTACGAAGGTAATCTGCAGATCTAAAAAATGATGATTCAGCAAATGCATGAATTCTATCATATATTATTGAAAGGAAGCGTTGAAAAAAATCGGTAAATACTTTTATCAGATTCGCATGTTTAACGAAATCATGCATGGCAGTCATTATTTGCATTATTCAATTATTGATTTCCGGTATCATAAAGGCTATATACTCGAGATTTTTACAACGGTTGTATAATTAGTAATTGATTATTTCAATGTGACTGTGAGAGCAAAAGGCTAAATTATTAATTTGATTTCCGGTGTCCCAAAGGCTACTCGATATTTCTGCAACGTTTTTTGTGCATAATTATTTATTGATTATGTTAATCCGACTGTCAGAGAACGCTAAATAAATCACAAAAATTGACTCTAATCCTGGATTTTTCGTGACTGGGAATATGAGGTGTGAATCAAAAAAGAATGCGTCGAATCAAACTTCAGAATACCTTGAAATTTTCATTTATTCAAGTTATGATGATGAAAGGCAAGTCAAATTGAACATCACACACTCATCCATACAACAATTTTCATTTATATGAATTTACATTTCAATGGTTTCTCACAAAGGACGAGGAATGATAACAATCAAAAAATTGAATAATTATTCTCTTGACGACAGAAATCAGTTTTCAGTTTATTGGTGTTTTCCGAAAAATTTCGCAAGCCCTCTACTGAAAAACATCCGAAGTTTTTCACCAATAGATGAATGCTCAAAAAATTAAGAATACAATTATTTCCGATGAGTGTGCAGCAATTTTTAAGTGATGTTCGGTGTAAAATGATGTGTATCATCTTGACCTGATAACTGGTCACTCACAATAGCTCAGTTATCTAAAAAATATAAGAAAAATATATAAATTTGGATTATTTTACAAACAGGATCTGGTCAAATTGAGTTCAATGAATTCGTGCTTCTCGCCTCCAAGTTCATGTCTGAAGAAGACTCAGGAGTCATGGAACAAGAACTTCGGGAAGCTTTCCGGCTTTACGACAAGGAAGGTCAGAACTCAAATGAATTGAGAGAAAAATAATCTCATCGTATTTTTATTTCTCTTTCCTGAAATTCCTTTCCACGTGCCTCAAAGATGTTCCCCTTAACACAGAGCCCAGCGAGAAATTCTCTAATTTTCTTCCTGTAGCTTCGTTTTAAAACTTCTCACGATTATTTTTTTATGGTGCAAGGTTCGGGTTACAAAGTCTGTCAGTTTCTGGGACAACGAAAACACGTCTTCTGTATGAAAGTGTGCAGGTGTTCCGCCGAAAAGAATATCGTTTTTTCTTGAAAATTTCTTGAAATAAACCTTCACTGGCTTTTTCCTAGTTCGTGTGACGCCTGTTGATCCGCGAAGTTGAACGTGTAGAGAAATATTTTCTGAACCTACCGCGTAGAAAGATAATTTTTCCGTGTGGATTATAGTTCTTCGCAGCTGGGGACTTTCCGATAATTTAAAAGCTTATTTCCCTCTGAGAATACGGTTTAAAACTTGTTATTACAATTCAGGAAATGGGTACATCACAACAAAGACGTTGAGAGAAATTCTGCGTGAGTTGGATGACAAATTGACTGACGAGGAGTTGGACGAAATGATCGCGGAAATCGACACCGACGGTTCAGGAACCGTCGACTTCGATGGTGAGTTTGTCAAAGTTTGTCACCCAAAAAGCGGACAAAGTTAGAAGCATATCATAGCAAAATGTAAGCTCATTTTTATTCAATTAATGTGAAGTGTTAAAGCGCCAAAGCTCACCTGAAAAATTAGGCGCAGGAATAAAGGAGGAAATTTTTCACTTCTTCACCTCATCGTACATCTTCAAAAATTTAGACTCGTGTTGTCTGATTCACTACAGTTACTAATGCAGAGAATTTGTATAAAATATCCTAATCAGATTGAATACCGGAAATTTCCCTACAAAATTATCCGACCTTAACGAACAAAATTTATTTCAAACAATGAAATGTCTTAGACCTCATGAACGCTCTAGAGATGCGTGCGACATCTACTCAGACCGGAATGATTCAAGGCGTCGTGGAAGATTCGGGTTCAAATGAAAACAGAATTCTCAAATTCGTTGTAAGAATTGTTTCCAATCTAGATTTTGTCTTTTTCGTTTCTTCCTCTGCAATGAAGAGTTCATGGAGATGATGACCGGAGAATGAAAACAAGAAATGCTGATGTTCAAACTAATGGACGAGCTCAAAACAAAATGTCTGCTTCGATTATCCACTTGTTTCGGGGCCTCCGACAACTGCCATTTCATTTTCGCATAATCCTTCCTGCATACATTTGTCTACGAAGTCCTCTTTTTTTTTTGTCTGTCCTCTTCCGGTCATGAAACGACGCGTGACAAAATGGCGAGAAATCATTTATGAACGCGTGGTTTTTTTTTTCATTGTCCCGGGATTTGAAATGAAAAAATCATATTCGCGTGTCAATTTTTTCAAATGGTATTTGCAGCGGGAAAAATTTTTTTTCGTCGGTGTTTCACTAATGGAAATACTCATTTTTGAGTCAAATGCATGCAAAATTGTATTCCTTCGGAGTTTTTTTTTATCCTTTGCCAAATTTCTGAGGACGATGAACGCATAAAAAAAAATCACATGACAAATTATGCCAAAATGTCATGGTACACGTGTGATTTACCGATGCACACCAAAAGGGTGTCACTTATTTTACAGTATGTCAGCACATTTTGCTCATCTCAAGATACTATATTAAGTGAGATACAGTATAACCAGAATTAGCTAATTATTCAAATGATTGAAACGCATTTTTCTCTGCACGAGAATATTTCCAGGAATCAATCGATGCACATTATTTCTGCATGATGGGAAATACATGTGCACAAGTATTTGTGCAATCTTATGTCTTGGACCGAGTTTGAAAAATGTGAAACCGTATCTTTTTTTTATGCACGGGTTTAATCTAATTACTGTATCAATAAATTCCAGTTAAATGAGGAATTCATGTATTATAAAAGCGGGCTTACAAGACCGTCTTTTATGCAACTTTAGTACGTTTTTTGGGTACCATATTTTATGTATGTAAAGTTTTATATAAAATATATGTGATTACTACAAACAGTCACAAAGTCAAAATTTCGTCGAAAAATTACTCATAAGGCCCTTTACTTTTTCGCTGCTGGATAAAATTCTGAATCATCAAATTTACTCATCTCCGAATTAAAAAATTGTACTAATTGCTCATTATATAATCCCGCATTAAAAGAACAGTACATTACTTCAATTTTAAAATTAATTTAAGATTATTATTTCATGATGGGGAAACTTGTCTAGCATTAATTTACTGGATCTCGTTGACATTTTTATTTAGTTTAGTAATGTTCTGATGATCACAAAAAGTTTTGACGCTCATAGACTTTTTAAACCTCATTGTAGAAAATTCCCAATTTTGGAAAAATAATCTCCTTGTAAAGTATTCATTTTATTAGGGGGTGGGTGACTATATACTGCATATGCTGCAAAGTAACAAATGAGCAAAGATTACCATGCAGGAATTTTGATTAATGCACTTCCCTGATGATAAAGTTTTTCCAGCAGAAAGATTGTCAATGCCAAAGTACAGTAATTGAAATTGCTCTGATATTTTACTCACTATTTCTGTGCTCTTTTGAAACGGAGGCGCTTCTGATATTTTTTATTTTATTTTTACTTAATAATATATTTTTGTTGTTTTTATCATGTTTGAATATATGACAGAAATGTATGCTGTATATAAACTGAATTCCTTCTGTCTGCTGTTCAACATTTCAAGAATATTTCGTTAGAAATTCCAAATTATTGTACGGAATAACCACATCAAGAAACACGTGAAAAAATGTGTTCATGTATAAATGCTGTAGCATTATATGTTCCCAACATATGGTTGGCAAGGGATTGAAGGAAAGAGAACTGTGTTCAGTTTCAGAGGATCCTGTATAAAAATAAGCAAAAATGAAAAAATTTGAAGAAAAAAAAAAACCGAACAAGAGACGATATTTTCCGCTGCGAAAGAACGTCTTTATCTTCGAGTCCTCAGCAGCACTTCCTTTTCACTGACTTGATAATGACTAAGTTTCCCCAGTAGAAGAATTACGTGGCTCATCCTTCCATATACAAGTCTCATGTATACGGATTTTCCAATCAGTTTTTGTTTCCCATGACAACATGAAACTGGTTCTTTTTGTGCTGAGTTCATACTTCGCATTTGCGCCTCCGTCAACTTTCGGGGGACATATTTCGCAGAAATTTGAAGGACAGCTGGAAAAATTCAAGAGGAACAGTAAGCCGAGCTCGACATCGTCTTCGAAAATATACTTTGAACCAAAAGGTTCCGGAATAAGTAATACAAGGAACCCTTCGGTTAATCCGCTGGACGTCGTCGAGAATAATAATAATAATAAGCGAGATTTTACAATAGTGCATCGATGCCCTCTGGCCGTCGATTCCGTGAATCTGGAAACTGTGCAAAATTGGAAGAGTCGATTCGGCATTGATTTGAAAAAAGTGAAAGCAGTGGAAATCCGGGATTGTTCCGTGCTCGAGTTGAACTTGGACCTCGTTGTTCGCACATTGACCGAGTCCAGTGTGTCGACCCTAAACGTCGTCAACGTCTCTGACCTGAAAATCGTCACTTCTACTCGTGCTGACGACGATTCTCAGAATTCTCATCAGCAGCGTTCCGGACTCGGATTCGTCGATTCGAATCTCGCTTCAATCACTGCGCACGGTGTCGACATCTCGTTCGTGAGTGTGACATTTCACGCGAATACGCAAGTGTTGCCGATGAGCAGCACAAATCGGCGTGCGACAGTCAAACGGATCGTCTTTGAGAAATGCACCTTCGCTGGAACGGTGCCCACGGGTTTTCTGGGCAACTTCGAAGCTCAGGTCATTGTGGTCAAGGACTCGGTTTTCCAAGGTCGTGTGGAATTCGAGGCTTTCTCTAAAATTCGTGTTGGGAAATTTGAGGTCAACTCGGTGATTTTCAAGTCCGACGTGGTGGAAAATGCCGTGATGTCTGTTCACGTGGAGGATGAGTTCCTCTTGATCAACTCAAGGTATACAAAAATGTTCATTGTTTAACGTGAGATTTCATTTGATAAAATTTATGCTAATCAATTAGATAAATTTTTAATTTCAAAATTATTTCAAGGGCAACTTCATCAGATGCTGGTCCATTGTCAAATTTAATCGTAAAACAGTGTCAATAACTTAATTATGCGCATCGCATTGAGTCCCTGAAAAACGTCGATACTAGTGCTGCCAATTGGTTGTCCCAAGCATAGCCTTGATCATGATTTTATATCTGTCACATAGGTGTCGCTTTTCAAATTGGTCGAATTTAATCGGTCTCAATTTCAATATTACGTTCTTTATACAATAGAATAAGTTACATTTTTGTCCTTAGAGTCGTGGTTTAGGTTTTTTTGCATCCGTTGCAGTAAGGTTTTTGATTCTGTTCAAGAAATACAAGCCTTCAACTCGAAAATTTAAAAATATGCCGTTTAGCCACAAAAAAAAGGCCCTCTATAATTATTCCAAGTGCCATAATTTAATGAAACAAAAATTTGATTGATAGCTTTTCGTGGATTTCTTGCATCATTGACATTTTTCACTTGAAGATTTTTTCACAGAAAGTCTTTTTTGCATGATGCTGCTTATCACATATTTGACGTGTTTTCCACCTGAAGAAATTTTTCTGCACGTACAGTGATTCCTTTTTTCCATTATGCTGCCTTGATTATCACTATATAACTCGATTATATGGTTGAAAAATTGTTTTCTTCAAATAAAATTCATTTTCGGAAGCATTCAGAATTTTCTGCTTGATTTCATGGATTTAGGGTCCCTAATAAATAGTCACTAAATAAGTTGTATTTCTACACTAATACCTGTACCTATGGAAGTAATCAAAAATTTGAATGTATCAAAGGATATTTCTGTATTTTTTCCGACAGTTTCGAAGGATTGCTCGAAACCAAAGCATTCAACTTCGAAACGGAAACGAGAATCCTCACCATGCACGGGAACAAGTTTCTCAATATCGTCAATCCGAATTTTATGCAAATTAAAATTATGACGACTGGACGCATTAGTGGAAATATCTACAACGTCTACGAAAAAGACGTATTCGGTGGTTTTCAAGTTCTGGATGATGGTTTATTAACCTTAAAGGGTAATACGTTCAATACCGGAAACCTGCAAGAATTCGACGCTGAAAGACCTACAAGTAAGCCACACAAAAAAAAAAAAAAGATTCAAGAAACTGACTGAATTCAAATGCATTTTTTCTCACATTTCTTGCGTCGGTTTTCCATATACAGTATTTCTCAACTGAAAATGTTTGTGGATATATTTTAAGGGTTCAGCAAATATGTACCATAGCCTATGGATAATATGTCAGTTTAAGGGGACATTTTTCGAATGATTTCCGCAGCTGCACGATTTATTTATATGCGTGTGAAATCTTTTTAAAACAAATTTCTGTTGGCCTGAATAAAATTTTTATAAATTGATTCTCTTGAGAAATTTTTGCAATTTTTCAGTCATTGTAGAACTTTTCAGTCATGCATTTTATCATTCCATGGAACCGAGATTTGGTTGGCTAATCAGAACATTTCAAGCAAAATACGTATGTATCCTAGTCTAATATGTGACTAATTGTCACACAAAATATATTAACAAATCTTACGCAGTATCAGTGAGATTTTATCCCAAATGCATTGCTAAATCCACTTTTTAATTCCATCTGCCGTGTTTTTTAGTATTTTTTTTAGAAAACAAAATTTGCAGAACTATCCTGGAATCATAATTTTGATGACCACTCTTGACAAATTCTGAAACACAAATTCAAGGCTGCATATGGGAAATTTTCACTTTCTCCTGAAATTTTCCATCTTGCTCCGTTTTATGGCATTTTCCAACATCTTTCATAAATACTGTACATTTAAACGAAGTTCGTTTTAACGAAATTTTTCGAGGTGCAAGAATAGCTTGATTAGAACAGAATATTTTCCGCGGTATTCCATCAGTCTCCCCAAAAATCTGATTTTTGAAAATTTTGAAATCACTGAGATATAAGTTTAACTACGACGAAAAGTGCTACACTGTACTGTGCTAATCCAGCACCAGCACATGCACAGGGATTCATTCAAAACATGTAAGCTGCAGTTCACCCAAGATGAGTTTTTTTTTTTTATTCTACCAATTGATAATGCAACATAATTGCTCAACTGATGCTGTTTGGATTCTTCCCCCCACAGACGGTTTCGTGACCTTCGCAACCCCGGATAAATCAAGCATGACGGACACCAAATTATCCACGACTTGTTCCTGCGAACTTTACAACCGATTCACTCATTCTATGGCGGAAGAAATGTCTTGTTCATCAACAAACAATCAGCATGATTTATCAATCAAACTAGACGTGTTCGGCAAGGAGAAACGATGCCGTCGATCGCAGGCATCACTAGGAAAGATGTCACTGGAAATGCTGATCGCTGTCGTAGTCGGCGCCAGTGTGGCGACATCTATCGTTATTGGACTGTGTTTGTTTTGGTTTTGCGACGGCGCGAGGAGACCGAAGTTGTTCCGCACTTGTTCCAATTTGGATTCCATGGCTGAAAAGAGCAGCTGGAATTTCGAGCACATGGGACAGAACCGTCAGCAACCACCGGTCATAGTTTATGCTATTCCTGAAACGAAGGTACGTATGGTAACCAGGCATTGCCAGCAGAATTGAATTTGATGAGTAGGAGTGACATCTACAGGAATAGGCTCATAGTTGCGTGCGTGAGATCGCTTTCGGAAGGACACACGGGCAGTTTCAAGTTTTTTGGAATTTACAAGACTATGTACATTATACAATAATTTTATGTTCACAAAATAATTGAATTGTTAATTTGTTTCTTGAATGTGCGGTATATTATGCAGTATACAGCTGAATGAATAAAAACGGTATACAATAATGTATACGATTTTAAAAGATCTGGCTGATGCTCAAATTACAATAATTATTTGTGGAGTTATTCCGCGGAAACATGCAGATGTTCACGCGTTAATTTTATTTCAACGAAATAGACTGAATTTTTACTGCGCAAAATTTCCAAAATGTCACCCAATCTACTCCTACAGTTTTTCAAAAAGGGCTTCTTCTTTCTGTCTATTTTTCCTCAACGATTTGTTGATTTTGCTGCCTGTTGCAGGTAAGCTAGTTTATTGTCAGTATTCTTCACAGGTTTACACCATGTCAGACGCTGTGGAAGAAGACTATGTTGAAGAAATCGCAGAAGAAATTGAGCAGCCAGTCATAGTGCACCAGGTACTCCCCAAATCTCAGCACAACGATAAGAGCGCCACGCTCGGGTCAAGAGTGACATCTTTCATGACAAATGGAATGATGAGCCACCGTGGGGTGCCAACTCGGCGCCAACAGCGTTCTGGGAGTCGCAGGAACAGCAAGGCTGTCACTGGCACCGCTGCCAACTTGGACCAGCACCACCAGCCGGACGTATTGCCCATTGCTGGGAGGACTGACCGGTTTTGGAATGAACATAGAGCTTCGAATGTGATTTAATTCATGCAAATTATTGGACAATTGAAACAAAGACGAAAATGAGTAATGGACTATTTCAGCAAGGAAAATGTTGGTCCCGCGAGAGCGGCAAAATGTAATGTGCAAAGCATTTTTTCAAGATGGGTTGATGTATATATGATTTATTCATTATGTGTGTATATAGTCTATATACTGTAAATTGCTTGACTGAAAAAAACGTGAAATTCTGTCTTTCCAGCATCTGAACTATTGAAAATGCGATTTTGATTGACAAGTTAAGTCGTGATAAAATTTCAGCATTGTGATCTTTTATTTACAAATGAGTTCTACAGTACTGCACTATAAATTTACATAAATTTTGAACAATAATATTTACTCCTTTAAAACTTTATTCAACAAAGAATTTTTAACCTTGAGCATATTCCTACACAGTGATGTGCTATGTTCTTTATTTCCTTTTTAGCTCTAACACATATAGTGTAATCAGCAGCTGTTGAGAATCACATGATACATGAACAGGTGGTCTCTTATCTGCGTCAATCTTGACTAAAAACAATTTTCGCTGAAGAACGATTTTTCCCCGTGAGATTCTTTGCCCATGTTTGAGGAGTTCTCTCAGACAAAATTATTCTCTGCGTTGATTTTTTCTGGCCCCTTATTCTCCCTTGAATTTTTTTCAGAGAGTTCGCCATTATGTAATTTGTCTCCTTGAGCACCTCCCAATATAAGGCAAAATATTAAATGCTGCAGCTGGAAATCCAAACAATCCGCATGATTACTGGGGGAGATAAATCCTGCTATCATTTTTTATATTATTACTGCCTATATTTTAAATGGTAATTTATACATTATGCGGTACTGTATTCTGCTTTATTGGTAAATTTCAATGTACAGTACTGTAAAGAGCGCCAACCGGTTACCTTTTCCCACGTCACAATTGAAACGCTCTTTGAAACACAGTCAGCTCTATGTCGCTATAGGGCGACGTCCTGGAGTGCACAAGGAGAGAAAGGTGATGTGAGTTCATGCGGCGTTTTCGAAATGCTCAGATGAAATCAAGTTTTTGAAAATCAAATAGCCGAAGGAAAAAGCGCTCATACCCGCGGCAACATTCGAAATTGCACCGGAGGTTACTGTCCACCGTTGGTAGTCAGTGGTGAAACTGAGTACCAACCAGTCTACCAATTGGTTAGTAGTCTATTACTCAGTGGTTGGTAGTCAGTAAGAAAAGTTCAGGCTTCGGTTTTACGTCATTAAACGCTTGATCACGTCATGGGAAGCAATTTTGGACGCTAGTCAATCTGGAGAGTAGACGATTAAAAAGAATTCTATCCCCTCTTGAGTTATTACTTATATGACGCGTGATTTAGTAAGATTTCGACTGCTATTTTCTAGCCTCTCTCTGTGAAATGCATCATAAGTGGTCGTAAGCCTTTTAAAAAATGCATTCGCGGAGATTCTGAAGAAAGTTGTAAGGAGTAATCTGTCTCGATTTGCCTTACAGGCTTCTAACGAGAACTGGCGTATGAATCTCTCTGTGACGCGCAATTTTTTGAAGCAATTCCGTCGCGGAGGGCTTGAAAAGTTCACAAGGATGGTCTCCAGTATTCCAGCCGAAGCACTATCAAAAATGCTTGAAGGAAAAGATTCTAGAGCATTCCTGCTGTTGGACGCTCGAGATAATGCTGAGTTCAAAACAAGTCGCATTCCGCAAGCCGTTCATCTTCCGCATGAAGCCAGTGATAGCGACATTCTTGAGGTTGTCAAAAGCAAGACAGATGAAGATGCGGATGTTGTTTGTTATTGCCTTGTGGGTTTCCGTTCTGGCAAACTTGCAGACCGTCTAGAGAAGTTGCTCGAAAATGAAGCCCAAGTTCCTCGGCGGAAGGTGCATACTCTCGAAGGTTCTTTGGCAGCTTGGGCACTGGACGGACGGGAACTTATAGATTCGCTTGGTAACCCAACTAAGGCAGTAAACTTGGTAAAGGCGCCTGCGGCTTTGAAAGAAAAATTCAGCGCTCAAGTGGCATGAAGCTTCCAAATTCGCTTGTTGGAACGTTGTATACTCATTTATTCTAATTGTACTCGTTGGCGTGTCCGTTCTGCTAGGGGGTTTGGGTTCTCCGATAGTTTTTATGCTTCAGGATTGGTGTGATAGATGTTTATTCTCGATTTGCAGGAACGGATTTTTTTATCTTGTGTGTTGATCAGAAATTGATTTCTTTTAACCATCATGATTTCGCTCAAAAGTGTCCTTGTTCCGAACACGATCAATATTCGGAGGTTGTTCAATCCCCTTAGCATCTTCCAAAATTTCTTGACTATTACTCGCGATTCCAAAGAATCTGCAGCGAAAAACTTCATCCGCGCCGGATTTGTTGGTAGAGTTCGATCAAAAATGTCCGACATTCCGACGATTTCTCCTTACGCACTAGGCATTCTTGTTCAGAATCGACATTCTGACCGAATACTTGTGAATGATTCAAGAAAGACTGTACTTTATGTCCCAGAAGAAAGTCTCGGTGTCCTAGATGCACGGACGCACGAAGAGTTTGCCCGGGGTCACATATGTGGAGCTTATTTGATGCCGCATGATGCTACGGATAAGCGACTTGAGAAATTTATACTCATGTCTGTGAAACAAGGACATGAAATCTTCGTCCTCTATTGCAATCAGACCCACAACCGATCTATAAAATTAGCGAAACGCATTTTGGAAGTGAAGAAGAACCATGCGCAAGCGTGCTTGAAGTTAGAAGTATACGTTCTAGATGGTGCCCTGAAGGAGTACGCCAAGACTGATCCGCTCGTCGATATCAACATGCGGTCGGGAACGTTCTCTTCCGACAAGTGATGGTTTTTTTGTGATGTATCTCTTGAAATCTGGAGTGTGAGAACATGCTAAATCTGAGATCGATGCACGATTTTCTCTTATTTTTTTGGTGAAAAATGTCAGGAAAAATCCTGGAAACATGTCTGGTGTGATAGCTGAAGATCATATTTTTTTCGAGGTGTTTTTTAGTGAGGGTTATAGAAAATTTTTCAAGATCCCCATGGGATTCACCGGGATTTGAAAACGGAACGGAGCAAACATAACCCTCTTTTCTATTGAATTAAATACTGTAATTTTTTCGTGGAAATCTCTTCAGTTTTTCTCGTATTACGTAGATTTTGAAATACCGTAGCTTGATACTCCAATACATTGTGCTCCGGGGAATAATTGTATCTAAGTTATCTACGTTAATGGATCATTTCAATACATTTCCAAATATTGCATACTGTATTTTGACGATGCAATCAAAATAATCTCGAGTATTTCCAGAATTTTCTGGTGTGGAAGGTTTTTCTTTCAATTTACATTTCGACCCACGCAAAAAGAAGGTGAATGACCGGCTTTATGAAACAAACTACATAATGTAATGTGCGAACCAATCGGTCTTCGATGCCTTTCTCCCTTCATCAGACCTTTTTAAGTTGAAAACATCTTCACCGAATGCTGGTATTTCAGTTATTTCTGGGAGAACCTCCTTTGTTACGTCCTTCCATTTCAGACTAACCAGTTCGCGCGATGAGTGGTGGGTTGGCGCCGAGTAAAAGCACGGTATACTTGGGGAATTTGCCTTACAATTTGACCAACTCGGATGTTCATCAGTTGGCCGAAAAAAATGGACAGGTTTCCAGGTGAGGGATTCTGAACGCCTTCACGACTTTGAATCCCATTTTCACTGCTTTTCTCCCTCGTTTCATCCCAGAGTGAGCATCTTGAAGGACGAGAAACGCAGGAGTAAGGGAGTGGCGTTTATTTTATTTGTGAAAATCGCAGACGCGGAAAGGTTTGTTGCGGAATTTGACAAGAAACAGGTAATTTTGTGTGGTTTTTCTATGTTACGTTATGGTCATTTTGGCTTTTGACTACTGGAATTCAGGTCTTCGGTCGCACGTTAAAGTGTAAAATTGCGCAAGATAATGGACGGGCGAGGGAATTTCTTCGCCACCGCGAATATCCGGACAAATCGCGGTGTTACGAATGCGGAGAATTCGGGCATCTGAGTTTCAAGTGTCCCAAAAACACGTTCGGAAATCGAGCTGTGGAGAAGCCTGTTTCGAGGAAGGTCAAACGACGGAGAAAGGAGGAAGAATTGCAAAAACGTCGGGAAGATGAAGACAATACTTACTTGGAAGAAAACATTGATTCATTGAGCGCTGCCATTGCGTTCCAGGTAGTCATCCTTGAAGACTGAACGAACCAACATTTATTGGCTCAATTAAAATCAAAAGAAATTGAATTTTGGATTCAAAACGCAATTCGATGATTAACCCATTCAAGGATGATTTCAGAGGCAGAAAGAGGAGGAAGGGGCTGAAACGGGCGATGGGTCTCTTACTTCATCTGTTACGAGAAAACGCATGAAATGCGGTGGATACTTCAGTGACGAAGATGAAGAAATCACATGACTTGCTGTGAAATTTTCCTGTGTTTTTCGCAATGTTGCGTCGTTTTTTTTTTTTTTTAGATCCCTTTTGCCCAGAGAGTTGTATTGGTTCATTGTTTTCGAAAACCTGTTTCATTCGGATCTTTTGAACCGCTTACATAAAGGATTTATATTTCTTCGGAGAATTCGTCTTGCTCATTCGAGATTTATACTTCATGTATAGGCTCTTGCAGCTCAAGAGTTACCTCAACAACATTTGTTTAGCATTTGAATTATGTGTTTAATTTTTTTAAATTCATCTGCCTTAGCAAGAAAGCTCCCGAACGCAAGAAATATGTGCTTACCAGTTGTGGCCCGGTGGGCCACAACTGGCACATGAGCAGGGGGATTTGGGTGCCCAGCCACACCTGGACATTGGACAAATTTTAGCTTGGAAAACATTGATGTATCACAGAAATTAACATGTGGAAAAGGTTGTGTCCAGGTGTAACTGTTAAAAAATCATGATTAAAGTTGATTAACTGGTGAAGGACCATGTAAAAAATTTAAAATCACCCTTTCATATTGAGGTAATACTATTTTTATTTTAATGGTCCATAGTTTAATTTTATCACCTTTAGTTAATTCAATCCCCAAACTTCTGCCTTTCATCACTGCACAGGCCACATTCCAAAATTTCAAAAACAAATTTAATTAGTGAATAAATATTTGTGTATGCAAAAATTTGAACATAATTCCCTGGTTACATTTTTGCTCCTGATTTTTCAATTCAGTTTTCAAGAATGTATATTTTTGGCACAGGTTCACTTGTTTATGGAGCACCCCACTCCCAGTATCCCCCCGTTTTTTTTTTTCAACTCCTGCTGCAGCCCAGTCCTTTCTCTGTGGGCTCCCAGACATCACTGATGCTCTTCGGAGGCAGAGAGAGGGAGAGTTAGGGGGCGGGACTCCCAAGAGTCTGGGAGGGGGGTGCTGCGCGCCTGTGCGTTTTGGCGGGAAAGTGGGAAAGGCCAGGGAAAATTAAAAAAATGCTGCGAACACCAAGCAACTTTATTATAGTAGATGTATAGGCTCTTGCAGCTCAAGAGTTACCTCAACAACATTTGTTTAGCATTTGAATTATGTGTTTAATTTTTTTAAATTCATCTGCCTTAGCAAGAAAGCTCCCGAACGCAAGAAATATGTGCTTATATTTTGTCCTTCCAGAATGGACCTCTTGAAGTACTGTACCATCAACCCTGGGGCATAAAACGAGCATCTTTCTTCTTTTCCCGCCAAAAATGTTCAACTAGACCAGTTTTGGCGATGACTGATCAACATTTCGGTAATTATTTCCAGCAGATCACTGCATCGCGTGTTTTTAAGAATAATATTTACTGAAGCTTTAATAAACATTGACGGTCAAATATCAGAACAATTAATTTGTTCGTTTGTAACAAATATTTTAATTCAAACATCTTGCAAAAATGCTGTTTCTTGAGTATGCAAAATAACGTATTGTGCAGTGATTAGCTTCTCGCGGGTTAGTTCACTGAAATAGCTGGCTAGATGTCACTCGCAATCGGCACGGCAGAATGTTCGACTACTGCATGATGACCGTGCGGTTGAGTCATTCCGTACCATCTTCTAAGTGAAATTCGTAACGTGACGTGCATGCGTTTGTGTTCGGTAATTATACAAAAATTCAGATTCAATTTTATTTAAGAATGGAAAAAAGTCTGTCAGCCCTTTTGGTTGTCGCATTGCCGTTGTTTTTTTTATCATATTGGGGAATACCAGTGCTTTGTAAGTTGGTGACTATTGCCGTCAATTAAACGGCCCATTTGTGGCTCGAAGAAAAGTTTAATACCGTAACAAGGTCGTTCAAACGTACAGTATCTGTGGTGAGCATGAGTTGCGCCAACTCAGCTCAACCCATCAACACGCGACTGGCGGCTACCCCTTACTTGAAGGTACTTTTTCACACGGACGCACACAAGCACGCAGCAAGACTCACTAATAAAAGTGATCGAGCCTGCAAACCAAAGCGCATGCGTGTGTCCATGTGTGAAGAGTGCCGAAGCTGCGCTTTAAAAATCCGCAGATATTCTTCCTGCTCGTAATAGGCGCATGCAGAATTTCTATCCTCACGGAAAATTCGTCGAATTGCTTCTGTTATTGATTATCTCGGTCTTCGTGTTTTGGAAAATCTGTTCTGTGGACGGGATGAGTGATTCATTAGGAGAATAAGTGAAGTTCTTGCTTCTGTGACAACTTGTTCCATTAAGGTACCGGGAGCCTATTGTGACTTCGAGCATGTGAGAATGACGTAAGTTCTGTGCATTCGGTTCGCGTATCTTGGATAGTATTTATCCAGTCGGTGTATACACATGGCGTCATCGTTAGTCGTTCCCGGTCCTTTACGGACGGAAAATTTGGGAAGCATGGGTTCGGCTGTGATTGAAGGTCCATTGAGTAAATGGACGAATATGATGCAAGGATGGCAGTTCCGGTGGTTTGTGTTAGACGATTGCGCCGGACTTCTTTCATACTACACCGTGAGTAATGATATCTTCAAAAAGCCTTTTCTCTGCCCGCAAGTACCTTTTATAAAATAATTCAAGTCGAAGGAGAAGATGACTAGAGGTGTGCGTCGCGGCTGCGTAAGGTTGAAAGGAGCAGTTCTTGGGATTGAAGATGAAGACAATGCCACTTTCACCATCACAGTTGACGGCAAAGTCTTCCACTTTCAAGCAGCGAGTGAAATCGACAAAGAGAAGTGGGTTCGAGCACTTGAAGATACAATCGTTAGGCATGCCCAGTCACGATATAGGGTTCGTTTCTTCTAATTTGCTTCTATCCTCTGTGTAACCTCCCGTATTCTTGTGTGTAAAGCTGTACAGTCTCACATCTCCTCTACCAACTGTCGCGGATTTCGAAGCGAAGATGACCGAAGCGGATGCATACTTACAACTGATGATCGATCAAGTTAAGGTATGCCCTTAATGATATATAATTCTTCGCGTTATGTGCAAGTCCTTCTCGTCGTCTTGTTCAGGATCTGGCTGAAGAAGTTTCAAAGCAATCAAACTCCGATACGAAGCGGAACTTGGAACGGGTCCATACCGAAGCTAACGTGAGTGCAAATCCATAATTCTCGTTTAAGATTTGACTTTTGGTTATTTCTTTCGCTTGTTTCAGAATATGTTGGAGAGTATCAAGCATCTGATTGTCGTCCTGCAAATCGCGAAGGTATGTACCAAGGTTTAATTTCCTCACATGAAGAATAATTAATCTTTTATTCTGCTAGAATGCTGCGAATCCGATCAATGGATGTTTTATTCCGGATTCACCCAGCGAGATGAGTGGATTTGTTCGCCCGGTTCAGCAAGGTATGTCATGTGAATGCTGAAGAATGTTGATAAATTTGAACATGAACTCACTTCTAGGATCGGAAGTCGCTGAATCCTTCTTGGATGCCTTTTCTTCTGTTGTGATTGGCCCGGATAAAGTTGTTACCGGAATTGAGACGGGCATCGAATGCGTCAGTGAAACAGTTACCATGGGAGTCGCTTCGATTACTCCTATCGGTGAGTTAAGTGCTTTTTTTTTTACCGGTGATGATTATTGACTGTGAAAGTCTGAAATAACTCTCCACGTATGAACTTCTGATCGGATTTTTTTGTCGCGATTTCATCGATATTTTGGTCGTTGATTGACGGGAAATAATGAAGTAAATCCTGTTCATTCTACACAGTTGGATTCGTAAGGTTTTGAATGAATTGTGTAACGGAAGGATTTAGACTCGTAGAGTGAATATACGGTACATTATTTTTCCCTTGCAATTCAGTATAGAGGGCTTCAGAAATAATTTTCAACTAAGCACGACCGCAGAACATGCGTTGAACGTAAACAACCCGAGAAGCGCACGTGTGAGATACGAAGGTTTCATTTGAAGTTCTGAGTCAAATATTTACTCAATTGTAATGACGGAATCCGTCATATTCAAATTATAAGACGCCACTGTTTTGCCCCGCCCCTATTCCCCACACTATTCACCCCTTCAGATGAATAAAAAAAAGCTGACGTCAAAACTTCTTGCGCGTATTTGTCTGCGCAATTACTTTATTTGGGCGAATGCATTTATTTTAGATTTTTTTCTGAAGATGGTATAAAAAAATTATTTTGCGTGAGCGTGGTAGCGAAATGTTTTTTAAAAAGCTTATCTTTTCTTCCAGTCACGGTCCCACCGTCCGCCCAAATAGTGCCTGAAACTTCTTATTCTTCAAGTGAAGAAGAAGACTTCTATGATGCTTATGATGACGATTACAATGTCCCGATATCTGGTATAACACTGGATGCCAAGCCTGACGCGCAGTAAGTTTATTTAAACGAATGTTGCGAACGTCGAATTAAGTGTGCTGTTCGTCTCACAGAGGATTGTCTCCAGTGGATGCTGAGCTCCGGTTGCCGTCTGGTAGCGACTTTGTTCCCAAGAATGTTGACTATGATGGTAAAAAAAAAAATTTTTATTCGTGTTGTAATGCATTATTCAGGAAGGTGCTTTTCATTATGCTTACAGCGTTATACGACGACGACGAAGAGGAGGATCGTGAGTTGAGGCTTCTTGAACATACTGTATTTTGAGTCTTCCATATTTCTTTTTTTTATTTATTCAGTTGGAAGTATGGAACGACACGGTAGTATCATAATGCACCTAGTATCTCAAGTCAAAATTGGAATGGATCTTACTAAAGTTGTTCTTCCAACTTTCATACTGGAGAGGAAATCCTTGCTCGAAATGTTCGCCGATTTTTTCGCCCATCCCGATTTGTTTGTCAGGTGAGCTGTTTCATCCATCTCAAGTGCGAGTTTTTATTTCTTTACTTCCGCGTCACTGGTACGCCAAATGTGGGTTTTTGGGACGTGAACAGGACTTTTACTGTTATGTTTTTCAGTATAAATGACAAGCCGACCCCCGAGGCACGATTCACCACGGCTTTACAGTGGTATCTTTCGTCTTTTCACGCCGGAAGGAAGAGTAGCATCGCCAAGAAGCCTTACAATCCTATCTTGGGGGAAATTTTCAGGTAAGTCCATGATTTTTTATTTGAAAAAGGACTAATCTTTCTTATTGGATTGACTTCGGAAATATAAATTTTAGATTATGTCCATGGAAGGATGAAAAAGGAATAGGTTCTCATTTTCTTTCTCCTTATACTTGTTTCGTGTTATGTAAATATTGTTTCCCTGCTTAGACTGCATGGAAATGATTGAGAAGTGAAGGTAAAAGGATCTTGCAGTAATGCAATTTTCACCGAAAGAGAGAACCTATCTGTTAAAACGGAGGGACTTCGTGAGCGCCCACGAGTCATGTCCAGTTCTTGTGCAACCGTAAATTTTTAAACTATATTATGAATAAGAAGGAACGAAAGCTGTAGATCCGTCAAAACTGATGAAGCTAAAAAAAAATGCATCTTTTAAAACTTTTTTCTGATCAATATTCGTTTGAAATCTTTCGGTTTCAATTCAGCGTGATACATTTGTTAATCGGTTGGGAAAATCTTTCTATTTTCATTAATCGATGTTACCTCCGTGGTACGAACCCGGACGAATCAAAGCTTATATGGTCTCACTACTTCTCATTCGTTTTCGCGATTTATAAAAAAAAAAGGTGTTCTTGGACTGTTCCGGGAGTTACCAAAAAGGAAACCGCAGATCCGGCGCTGAAGGCTGTCGGCCCAGACAGCCCTGTCCCATGGGCCCGGGGAGACCAGCTCACTTATATTGCAGAACAAGTATCGCATCATCCACCCAGTGAGTACTGTGATTTACCGCCGGGAGGGGGCCATGCTAATCAATATCACCCGTTTGCCCTATCGTCGTCGTCGGTTCTTAGTTTCAGCTTTTTATGCCGAACATCCGGGGAAAAGAATGTCTGTCAACTCGCACATTTGGACCAAGTCCAAGTTCCTCGGGCTATCGATTGCTGTGCACATGGTGGGACAAGGAGTCGTCTCGCTCCTAGACCACAACGAGGAGTACATTTTCAGTTTCCCAAGTGGTTATGGACGGTGAGTTTGCCTTTGTATGCGTAGAATAAAAAAAAAAAACATTTTTATTCTGTTTGTTTTGAATAATGCATTATTTGATCTTGAATTGGAACATGATTGCGTTGCGGGCGTTCAATTTTTGATACGTTTTCAAAGAGTTTGATTTTAGTTTCCGAGTCGAGTGTTTCAGCAAAAATATCGCCTATTTAAAAATAAGAAAGTAAGGTTTGTTACATTTTAGTTGAACGAATATGCATGAATAACAATTTCTTCGTCAATTTTTTAGTTTCAAGAAGCGGATACCATGAATACATTTGAAACAATTTTTCAATGAGTAAATGTACGAGCGCATTTGTGCTCGTTCTTTATTTTGTTTGTGAACATGATGCACGACTCATATCTGTGAAATACCGCGAAGGGTTGATATTTTCTTATGCAGTATATTCAATAGGAACATATTTTTTGAATTGTAATAATTTTTGTCTCAAGCTCTAGCGCTAGTGTAATTTTAGTGCGACGTCTATTTTCATAGAAGTTCTTGTGTAGTTTATTCCATTGGTACGTTATTGTTTCTGGCTTTCGTATGTTTATGCAGTCATCATTTTTTTCATGTACAGTATTCGTTAATTCGGATTGTTTTTTGTTGAACAATTTGTTATTTATTCACTTTCGTACGCGATGTGATGTGATATCTTCGTCAATGTTCTGGAGTATTTACGTTTGTTCGAATAAGTGAGGGAGTGTTTGATGAAGCTTCTGTCTGATTGTGGGTTTTCTCGTCGTTTTCCGAAACCCAGGTCAATATTGACGGTTCCTTGGATGGAGTTGGGAGGGACGTGTAGCGTACATTGTCCTCAAACTGGATATAATGCCACTGTAGAGTTTCTGACGAAACCTTTTTACGGTGGGAAAAAGCATAGGATAACCAGTGATGCCTTCAGACCCGGAGAGAAGAAACCGTATTTGTCGGTGAAAGGAGAATGGAATGGACTCATGACCGTGAAATGGGCCGATTCGGGAGTGAGTTATTTTTGTACATTTTCCTTCTGGTTCGTGATTTTTGAATGTGTGTCTTTCCACGATTTTTTCATCAACTGTAGAAAGAGGAGTTATTCGCAGATACGCGAAAAATGCAGATAATAACGAAGGAGCTTCAACCCGTCTTGGAACAAGAAGATTTTGAGAGTAGAAAACTATGGAAAGATGTGACAATCGGGCTTAAGTACGGTGATATCGAAATGGCAACGAAAGGAAAATCTTTTCTTGAGCACCGTCAGCGGACTGAAGCGCATTACCGTGCCGAACACAACATTCCTTGGAATACCAAGGTAAATGCAGCATTGTGTACAGTAGATAGTTGTAATTGTTGAGGGTGTACTGTACTGTAAATTTAAGTGCCGTCGAAAGTCACAGCTTGTGTTGGAACTCAATTAGAATGGGTTTAAATTGGTGGGTTTGCTCAGAAGATTTTGAAGTGTATGCTTGAATGACAAAAATTGCAATTATTTTTGGAGAGAATTCTGTGCAGAATGGAAATTCTTACGTGCTACTCAATTACACCCTTGCTGAGTACCGTACGTATTAAAAAAATCAGTTGCCAAACTGGTAGCTTTTTAGACGTTCGTCTTTTCTAAAAAAAGTTATGTTTTGATTTTTAGATTTTCAACGATGCATCATTTCGTTCTAATTTGATGGGAAGCGCTAGACGTATGATTTGCTGACGGTTTTATCTATTTTGCAGTTTTTTCACGAGGTAGACGGAAACTGGCAGTACGATCACCAGTTACAATCAAGATTGAAGAAACTGAAGTCCTAGTGCTTTGCAGCAACTGTGGTTCGCTTATTGTTTCGCGTAAAAGAAATGAGAAATTGCTTTCCAACGGCGTTAGAGAACACCGGTGTTGGGCCATAAGTGGGATCGCGGATTTCATCAGCGAAAGACACTATCGCAATCGTATTTTTTTCTCTCGCCTCGTTAGTAGATGGCAATCGTCCAACACTTGATCGATTTTTTTTCGTATTGCACCTCTTGTGTCAGCATCAAGAATCAACTGTTTTGAACGTGTTGCGGAGTTTTATTGTTAGGTTATCTGAAAATTTGACACGAGACTTAATTTATCTGTCTAACCGTTTTTTTTTTTTTTTTCTTTAGGCAGCGTGTGGGTTTTTTGCTATTGTGTATGTGAGTGACTCTTCGCGCGAGTGTTTCTTTCTGCCGCCCCGAAAATGCATTCGATGGAGACGATCAGCATGCCGAACTACTCGTACATTTTCCAGTTCGAGAGTGATTTTCAGTACACGGAAAAGCACGAGTGGATGGTGAAGAACTGGAAGACATGTTTCTACTATGTCGGCATCTACATGATACTTGTGTTCTCTGGAAGGCATTACATGCAATCTCGACGAGCATTTGAGTTGCGCACGCCGCTGGTTGTGTGGAACTTGTTCCTCTCTATCTTTAGCATCATCGGGGCGTCCCGCACGCTGCCTGAATTGTTCCACGTTCTCACGACTTATGGGTTTCATCATTCTGCGTGTGTACCAAGGTGAGATACGCTCGGTCTTTCTCAAATCTTCTTGACTTGAGGAAAATACTGATGAATTTCCGTGGCGAAACCTTTTGAGGAAAAATTAGGTTTCGTTTTTTCGACTTCCGAGTTGAATGCGTAGTACAGTACTGTTTTTCTGTGTCCCTATAAATAACAGCATTAATTTGATGCGCGATCGTCGATTTACTCTGCTCTTGTTTGAAAGCATTCTAATTTTTCGGAATCTGCTTTGGAGCTCATTAGAGCGTCCAAGCTATTTTTTTAAAGCTAGAAATACTTGTAGGTCTGGGCGATTGGGATTTTCTTGTTTGCTGGACACAGTTTCACCTGAAAAAATCTGTATATTCCTATTCTCGGTGTATTAGCCGCAATAGCAATATGTAAGAAATTAAATAACCCATCACTGAATGCCTACCACTAATTGTTACAAAATTCAGTAAAATTTAGGTTCTCTAATTTCCGGAAATTCGTCAAACTTTTATCATGCCACTTTCTGGGGATTCATGAAGATTCCTTGAAATTTATGGGGAGAGGAAGTCAGTGCGGAACAAGTGCAGCATGGAAAACTTCTTCCCGAGCTATTTTTGATTTGTGTCTAAAACATTTATGGTTAGCTGCTGTACATTGAGGAAAGGTGACGAAAATTCCTGCGAAACCCGATGATTTTTTTAAATTGGTTATTCTTTGTCGTGTTCGGGTAAAATGCGTTTTGAGAGTTCTCCAGTAATGTCGTTGAGTCATGTGGAATCTTTTTTTTATCAATGTCTATTGGTATAAACTACAGTATTTTTTTTTTCGTGTAGCATAGATATTATTTTATGAGTCACAGCTTTACGCGTAACTAATTATATTCTTGGATTCCTCGAAACTTGTTGCTACTTTTTGCATTTTTATTGAGAACGTTTTTTCTAGAAGGGCATCGCATTTTTCCCCCTACAGATTTGACGTTTTCGTTGACGTAACGTAAATCTTAGATGATCTTGAATACTTATGGTTTTTTCAGCTTTATTAAAAACAACCGTGTGTGCGGTTTCTGGACTTGGATGTTCATCCTGTCCAAGGTCCCCGAGCTCGGGGACACGGTGTTCATCGTGCTGCGCAAGCAGCGTCTGATTTTCCTGCACTGGTACCACCACGTGACGGTCCTGCTGTACACTTGGTACGCGTTTGCTGGCTTCGTGGCCCCAGGACGCTGGTTCATCACGATGAACTACCTCGTGCACTCTCTGATGTACTCCTACTACGCCCTAAAAGCGCTCAAGTTCCGTGTTCCTCGTCGCGTGTCCATGATTATAACAGCGGCGCAGTTGATGCAAATGGTTGTGGGCTGCTACGTTAACGTGTTCGCCTACAATGCGCTCGAACGAGGCGAGAAGTGTCAAGTGACTGTCGAGAATATCAAGGTCTCGCTGTTGATGTACTTCTCGTACTTCGTCCTGTTTTCCCGGTTCTTCTACAAGGCGTACATCCACAAGGGAGTGATGGGCAAGAGCTGTTTGAAGTCTGGGGAATTACCTGATCCTGTGAAGACCAAAGATGAATAGACGTCAACGATTTACCTCGTCGCTTTACGTTGCTCTCGTTTTATTCATGTTATGTTGTTTATTTGACGTTTTCTAGTCATCGTTCGTTTGATTTTTGTTTTTTTAGAAGTTTTTGAGCCGCAATTGATTTTTACGACTCTAACATTCCCTTCACTTATCTAAGCGAATTGAGTGCTTTGCTAAAAAAAAACGGCGAGTTTGAGAGTGTCATTCCTAGGCGAAATATTTCGTTTGCTGAGAAGAAAACAGCAGAGGCTTTTTGCTTTCAAAACATCGGTTTTTCGTCTTTAGTATCATTATTTTACAATAACCAAGCAATAATTTGAATTTGAGGCAACTTCGGCAAGTTGCAAGTCTGTGATTCGTTGCGGCTTTTTTCATGTCAATCGCGTAGCGTTGTAATTGTTTTCTATTTATATCAGTATTGCGTGAATCGAATCTCTTTTTTTCCGTTTCCAGTTTTTTTTTTTTCAAACAGGCGCACAAAACGAGACAACTCATGAAATTATTTCCTGTGCTAGAAAGTAATCGCGTTCGCTTAATAGGTGTCTAACAATTCGAAGGAAAACATCGTTAGGTAGCATTTTTGAAATTCATGTCGTCCTGTTACGGATGAAAGCTTTGGACTTCCTCGTTGCAGAATTTATAGGTTTTTTTGCGAGTTACGCATATTTGCCATTTTGAAGACCTGTGTTCCGAGTTCTTCCAAGAAATGCGAAACGTTACGATTTTCGAAATGCATTCGCGTAGGATTTTTTTTTTGGCGAAAAGCGTTTTGTCTGAAAATTGTAAGAATTTGAAGATGAAGTTCGAAGCGTCTCTCATTCGGCTGGTTGTGTTTATGCTGAAATTGAGACGACAGATCGTGTGGAGATACTCTGATTCATTCTGTTTGTTTTCTCGTTAATTTTTGTTGTTTTCTTTGATGATTGAAAGCAAGTGCCAGTCTGTTCTACGTGCATCGCAAGACGTTTGTATAATTGCGTTTTTTTTCTTCTGGTTGATTCGGTTGATTTATTTTATCGCGTCTCTGAACTTGAAGTCGCGTTTAATATTCTCCGGTTTTTGAGAGTTTATGTTGAAACTTCCGCAATTTTTATGATCAAGTATTCGAAGGCATTGTTTCGTCGGGACATGTTCGCTTTTTTGAACGAACTAGATTGGGCGTTTAGAGGGGGGAAACTTTGGTAAGAAGCTAAACTGCGTTCGTTCGCGCTTTTCCGTAATTCCAGAGCGGTGTTTCTTTCTGTGAGGATCGATGTCAAAAATTCGATCTCCATCGTTTTCTTCCGCAATAATCGCAGGATTAGTCCGGTTCTTTTTTGTGTTGAACGCTACGGGCTTTTGAGTGGGGGTTTTTCTTGTGAGGAAAGAAAAGACTGCTTGTATTGGGAAGGCAATTAGGGATTGCGATTGTGCTAGCTCTTGGTTCAGTGCAGTGTGTGTAATCCGCACTGGAAGAGAGAGAGAAAGAGAGACAAAACGTAAAACTCGAAGGAAAAGAAGGAAATGCAGAAGTATGAGGATGCGGCGTTGTGATTTGTCCTGTCCGGCTTCGATGTTGTTTCCTCAGTAACGGATTCTGGGCGAGTAAAGGACAACATAACGAAGCTAGAAAAAAATCGGTGCTTGGTTTTTTTTTTTCGTGAAATTTTGTAGTTCATATTCCACGCATGTTTTCAACAGCATTCAACTGGGAATTCTTCCAATTTCAGGCTTGCCATTGCTCAGTGAAATATTATTGGGCTCTTTTTAGCTGAAGTCCTTATGCAACAGAGATTATTCGTGTAGGTGTTGCCTGAATCGATGGCCTAATTTGATGCTAAATAAGCAGACGCAGGTGACATATTTATGTTCAAAGAGAAACTCGGATGTCAAAGTTTGAAGACCTCAAGGCCTGCACCAAAATTTTCATAAATTTGAATAGAGTCGCGTATGAGGGATAATATCTTTTGTGCAACGGCTTAACGTTCGATTTTGCATTGATCAGTGCATCCATTGTTTCCTGTGTGGCCTTAAAATCAATCACCCGTAAAAGGACATTCTTAAAAGTTTCTAAAGAAAGCTGCACCTTAGATGTCCAAAAAAAAACTCCTAGTTCTCAACTATACTGGGGAAAAGGGCTAAACAACGTACAATATAAAAAACATATATTTTTTTGAACATTCGTGTGTGTTTTCTACAGAATGGACGAGGAAGACAAGCCTCGTAATCCGTTCGCGAAGCATTTCGGTAGGCTAAAGAGTTCTGATGATATTTACGCTGCTGTAGTCCAGAAAGAAGGAAGTCAAGATGCAACAGTGTCGGATCAACTCAGGTCACTCATTTCAGCCAAACCGTCTCCAGCGGTGCTTAGTGGTGGATCGATTATCGTCAGTGATCGACAGGTGCGTTAGTAAAACTAAATATTTCCTTAACTAAATTTAGCCTATCCCTTAATGTTGATATTTTTTACAACCTACCCGCATTTATTCGAGTACCATGCACCCTTGCGTAAGAAATACACCAGTGCTGCCCAACATACGGGAAAGATCTGGCCTGCAGAGACTTGACTCTTCATCTGGCCCACAGTCAATAATTTAAACAGTGACAGCCCACACTATTCAAAATATATTCGAAATAAAAAACACCGTTCAAAATATATACTGGAAATTAAATTTACTATTTCAAAATTTTGCTTCACCTTTCAAAAATTCTACAAGACCATGCTTTTGATTCATTGCATAGAACTTAACTAGATTTTGAACGTTTCATTTAAAAAAGGGAAATTTTGGAAACTTGAATATTGTTGCCCATCATGACACAATTTGGAAACTTGAATATTGTTGCCCATCATGACACAAAGACTCTCCACCTGTGGAATTGGCTGTTGGTCATGTCTGAGTTAGGCAACACTGACGTACACCTTAGTTTAAACTTTTTTCAGTCAACAAATTCAAATTTGAATCAAAATCACTAAATAATGGAATTCTACTAATCTGTTTTTGCTTTAGGTAAGTCATATAATGTTGAAAAACGGAACTTGGAACACATTTTGAAAGTAGGAAACATTTTTTTCATGAAAAATGTACCCGACGTGATTCATGTATGATTTGCACCCGAAATTTTTCGCTGTCACAAACGTGCTCTTTTATTGATGTGCGTTGTTGATAACCTCTGAAAACTTGACTCGGTCTGAGTATCACATGTTTTAGAATATTTATATCACAGGTGTACAAATTAGTATGGAAACTGTTTATGAGAAAGTAATACGCGATGCTAAGAACAAGTTAAAGTCTCTCCTTTAGGGCAAGACTTTAGTTAGGCGAGACAAGGCACCCTCATACCTCTGTAATAAGGTCTAATACAGAACCCAGTCTCTTCGTGTGCTTTGTATCTGAGTCTTCGTTACCACGACATGAATCCCGATTACGTTCACCAAAGGTTGAAAAAGCTGGGTCAGCAATACGAACTTCGGATTCTTCTGGTCGAGGTCAGGTTTCGGTCACCCCTCATTGTGCAAAGTTTGTCTGCAAGGGAGTGTTTTCGACCTTTTTTTTTAGGTTGATTCGAAGGACCCTTATCATTCGTTGAAAGAACTGACATCTATTTGTGTCCTTGCCGATCTCACGTTGATGCTTTCTTGGTCCAATGAGGAATCAGGAAGAATATTGGAGACCTACAAAGCTTTCGAGAACAAACCTGCGGATCTTATTATGGAAAAGCAAGAAGCTAGTTCTACATCGCGGGTAAAGATATTAAAAACGTGTTCGTAGAGGTTTTTCCAGCTTGCGTTCAAAAATTAACGTATTGAATTCGTCAATACAGTAACTACGAGGATTGTCCCAATTGCGCGCGAACTTGGTTATCTCTTGAGTAGGTAGGACTAAATAGTTCTGTAACTGAAAAAAATTTTACTACAAAATTATGATATAGCCAGCCCATGATTTTGTAAAGCTCTGGAATTTCGTTCGGGTTAAAAAAATTCAATTCACTGCATGATGATGAGTGTAAATGTTCCAGTTATGCTCATAGTTCTCCATCCATCTCACAGGGGGCTAAAAATTATATGGCCAATTTTCCAGGTAAAAGTTGAAAACATTTTTGATTCACTATCTTTTCTACATTTTAGATATTGGTTAAAACAGGAAAAATTCAATTTTAGCTGGCCTGACAAATTTTTAGCCTTCTGTGACATGGGTAGAGAACTGCGGCCATAGCTGGAAATTTTTCACGTACCATCATGCAGTAAATTTTAAAATGTTAGAAAAATCCTGAGAAACCCAGAACCTTAGATGCTAAGAACATCACGGGCTGTATCCTTTTTTTTACATATTTACTCTAGAAATAACCAAGGTCGCTTTCAAGTGGGACAACTCTGGTACTCTATTTGGAAATTATAGTCTCATTTTCTAGATCATTCTGTCATTTTTTCTCATTTTGTTTTTTGTTGTTGAAATTTTGTAATGACCACCGAAATCACGGAGTCTGGGTCGTTCGTTTATGAATATCTTACTATTTCTATAAGGATTTCTGAGTTAGTGAATTTCAATTCTTAATTTCACTAGCAATGAAGGCTTGTTTAGTCCCATGCATCGGGTTATTGATACTTGAATCACGGCGCTTTCTCGAAAAACTCACGATTGTGTCGTATTTGTCGTAATTACATTAAAATTGGGTTGACAAATTTTGATTTTAGATAATTGATGCCTTGACCACGATTCGTTCCATCAATCGACCAGACGCCATGACGCTTCTTTCAAACTTTGGTTCCCTTGCAAGCATCTTGAAGGCTTCCAAAGAAGAGCTTGCTTTGTGTCCTGGATTTGGGCCGTCGAAAGCGGCGAAGTTACACGCGTCCTTGAAGCAGCCTTTCATCAAACCAGCGAAAACGAAATCGAAATGAACATTTTTCCACTGCTTTCAAAGAACGAGTAAGTTTTATTTTTCATTCCCGTCGGGCTTTGAGAAATAAAACAAAAAGGAAGAAAAAATTGGTCCGCGACAAGAGTTGAGCCAAAGAGACGCAAAAAAACCTTAATGCTCGCGAGATTAAATCGGCGCGCGGCGGAACCTTGCCATCAGCAACGAAATTTGCGCAAATTCCTGCCGCATTTTTTTTGTTCCCCTCGGTATTCGTTCCGTGGAAGAGAGAAAAGAAAGATCTTTTATACAGTCCGGTTTTTCTTTCTTTTCTGATGAGTGCTGCTCTCTTTTTTTTTTATCTCCTTGCATTCATGGTACAGGGGTGTGAAGATTCCTGGAAGCATGTATTGAAAATTTTCGGGTTGATTAAAAGCCCTTGAATGGGGCTGACTCGTGTTTAGAACTCTTCGCCTTCGTATTCCTCATCCTCCCCGGTCCCGTCGCGACCAACTTCTTCGTAGTCCTTTTCCAGAGACTGCAAGTCTTCTCGGGCTTCGGCAAATTCTCCCTCTTCCATTCCTTCTCCAACGTACCTGGAATTGATCCATAATTTTATAAGTTTGAAATATTCCGAAGAAATTAAGGAAACAAAAGAAAATTCAGTATTTTACTGTACTTGACTTGCACGAATTTCCAGTGCTGTATCGGTGTTTTCCTGTTGCTTCGGCGTTCAATTATTTCTTAAATTTTTAAGAAAATTGCTTACTTGTGAAAGATATCGACCGTTGAAAAATCGTCGGTCATGTGAAGATTTAGTCATCACTTCAAATAATTTCCAGTAATCTGTAGTCAAAATCATGTGTGATGTCTTAGTATGCACGTTGATTTTAACTGTATTTCAGAAGTTCTTCCGAATTCAAACGCCTTCTTATATGAATTATTTAATATTTTTAGATTAATTATTTTGGCATGTTGCAAACATATTTAGCACGTGTACTTCAGATTCACTTCACTTTATTCGCAGCTTCATAATTTTGCTAAACTTAAATGAAGGGGCAATGCCTGTTCTGATTTTCAATATTTTTATATCCCATGAAGGCTATGAACGCATTTAGTATCGATCAAGTCCGGCCGATGCGGACTAAATGGGTTCGCCATTTAGATACAGCTCATTTTTTTAATATGTTTACAGACATCATCTGGACAGTGGATTTTCAAATCAGTAAAGATAATGAGATGGCGGTGTGCTTACCAATGAACGAAAGCACGCTTGTTGAACATCAGATCGAATTTTCGATTCAGCCGCGCCCAAGCTTCAGCGATGGCGGTGGTGTTGGAAATCATGCAAACCGCGCGGCGTGTCGGTGCCAATTCACCGTCCGGAATGAAAGTTGGCGGCTGGTAATTGATTCCCACCTTGAGCGTGACAGAATATAAGTGGGTTAGAAAGAACAACTTAGATTTTTTAGAGTTGACATTCAAGCCTCCGGGGGAATGACTGATCGCATTGTTGCCTGAATCTATTTGTAAGTTTTTTTCTGTCAGCAAAAAATAACTAATGACACAGAGCAGCGGAACTTGGGGACAAGTGAAAATTTTAGTTCGGTGTATCAAGTCTAGATTTCATTTTTAACAATTAAAATAAATGTTCAGCGGTGTCCCGACACGCGGACCACGGATTAACGATTGGACCTCGTCCCTCCCTATGTCGGAATGTCCGCACCTTCGACTTCGATGGAAATATATTTTATTTGTTTTCCCGTCAATCAAACATTAGGAATGAACTCCCGAAAAAAAAATAACAAATTTTCTCAACTTCAAGACAGACAGAAACAGTGCGGAATAAAACCACACATTACCAAATATTTTGAAAGAAAAAAAGTTCAGCTATACTCTGCACAGATGACAAACAGTATAAAAAGAAGCCCAAAATTAGCCTGTTTTAATTATGAATTAGAGTAATTTTATAAGTCAATTTATTTTTTCCTTTTGTGAATATGAATAGCTCAACTTGTTCAAAAGATAATCAAAATTAAGGAAAATAAATCAGAATAGCTAAATGAATTGTTTCCATATACTAATTCCGGATGATGGGAATAACAGAAAAGTAGCACAAAATTGTGCTAGCTAAGTGCTAATAAAAATTTTTTAGCTAAGTGTCTACAAGTCGAATCGTCTGTAAGTCGGGGCCCCATAGTGTAGCAGTAGCTCATATCTTTTCCTCCCTCGCATTTTTTCGCATATAAAAGACCAGAAAAAGGAAAACCAACCTTGAAGCCAGTTGGACACCAGTCCACGAACTCGATGGACTTCTTGGTCTTGATGGCAGCAATGGCCGCATTCACATCCTTGGGTACAACGTCTCCACGGTACAACAAGCAGACCGCCATGTATTTGCCCATCCTCGGGTCGCACTGCAATAATTCCCGGAAACGAAATAAGTGTATACAATGCCAGGAAAAGTACTTGATTTGACTCCGCCATCACCGAGTTAACGTACCTTGACCATCTGGTTCGTTGGCTCGAAGCAAGCGTTGGTGATCTCGGATACCGTCAATTGCTCGTGGTACGCTTTCTCTGAGGAAAGCATCGGAGCGTAGGTAACCAGCGGAAAGTGAATTCTCGGGTATGGGACCAAATTCGTCTGTCGGAATAATTCAGAAAATGATATTAGCTTCAATGAATATTGTCAGCCACAGTTCATCACAATGCTGGACAACAAAAAATGCAGTTATTCCTGAACAAAACGAGCGTTAAAGAAGTTCCGTGTTTGGCTGTCCATGAGCAATTTCTTCCTGGTTCACATATAGGCTAGGGAATTCACGTAAATTATTTCGATGAAATCCAGGTTCTCATTATTTCCGGTCGAGTTTTTATTCATTATATTTAAAACTCCGTTTAAATTTCACCGGCTGTCATGATTCATCAGATGAGTCATACGTATTTCTCGCGTGTATTCCTGCGAAGGGTTCCGTGAATTCAGAATTGATGGAATCTTCGTTTTATTAATGACACTTTTGCGAGGTTCTACACCCATAACTCAAATTTTCGGATGCCTTTCGACGATGATTTTACTGACATAGGAAAATGTTTCGCCGTGAAGTGACGAGAGACTAACGGGGAAAATACTGTAAACCGTTCCCTCAAGATCAACGCAACTAATTCAAGAAGCGTTTCAAGGCCCAGAATATCACCAATTACAAAATTTCTCATTCTCCCAACTAGAACATAAACACATATAAATACATGTATATGTATATACAGTATATATTCTTTTGGACATTTGAAATACGACGACGATCAGGTAACACTATACTGTACACAGTATATTTACCGACCTGGAATTCGGTTAGATCAACATTGAGAGCCCCGTCAAATCGGAGTGAAGCTGTGATGGAAGACACGATTTGCCCAATGAGCCGGTTGAGATTGGTGTAAGTTGGACGTTCGATGCTTAGGTTCCTGCGACAGATGTCGTAGATGGCCTCGTTGTCAACCATGAAAGCGCAGTCAGAATGTTCCAGGGTCGTGTGCGTTGTCAGGATAGCGTTGTAGGGCTCCACCACCGCGGTTGACACCTGGATATTAGTGTCAAATAAGTCAACAATATATTAGAGTACCGTATTCCTCAAATTATGTTGCCTTATTTGGGACACTAAATTGAGTGAATTATTCCAAGTTAGTTTTGTATGCAAGTCAATACTAGGTACACTCATCCTATACGAATTTACCCGAGATTTTCTGTCATGGAGAATTGAATTGGCTCAATTAAATATTTGAATTCCTGGTACAGATCAGGCCGAACATTCTTTCAATATTCGGCGAAATTAAAAAAAATATTGTTCTTTAATGTACAGTACTTCCTAAATAATTCCACTCAATTTTCCAGTCTAGGAAAACAGGACTTGCACAATAATGTATTTTTTCGCATAACAAAATTGTATTACATAATAACTATAATTCAGTGTTCTGAAGGAGGGAAAAATTCCACAACCATTCCCAGTAATGTATTAGTAAAATACAGTAGTAAAGTTTGTAAATTATTTGTTACCAATTTTTTTCGTGACAATTATGAATGGAGTGCAGTGAAAGACTTGATTGCGCGATGTCTTGACGCTTAGATTTTTGGCATCCAAGAGGAAAAGCAGAGAAATGTCTGTTCCGTGCCATCCCAGAACTTGAATTCTAATGACTAAGACTAACAGTGCCTAAGTTGAAAAATACGATAATACTGTAAAGGTATTCAATATGCAGGTACGATAATACTATACATGATTTAAGTTGGAAAAATAATGCTCAATTCCACCGCACAAAAAAAAACGGTGGAATTAATTGGCTGATTTGAATCAAAATCTGGGTGCCTTCCAAAATGAATAGTTTTTTTTTACGAGAAACATTATTTTCAAGCGTTCATTATTCGAGCATATCTCTGAACCCCGTCGAAATAATTGTATCTCAACTCACTTGAGGTGCGGGATAGACAGTGAATTGAAGCTTGGACTTTTTCCCGTATTCCACAGACAGTCTCTCCATGAGCAGCGACGTGAAGCCGGATCCAGTGCCTCCACCGAACGAATGGAACACCAGGAATCCCTGATGATGACCAAGTAGAAAAGAGCCATGTATATGTCATCGCCAGACTCGATTAACTATAAATACTAAATTGGAAACAAAATGTTTGTTCTTTTTCTTCACCTGCAGTCCAACGCAGTTTTCGGCCATCTTCCGAACCTTGTCCATGACGAGATCGATGAGCTCCTTGCCGATCGTGTAATGGCCTCGAGCATAATTGTTGGCTGCATCTTCCTTGCCAGACATGAGCTGGTCCGGATGGAACAACTGACGATAAGTCCCGTGCCGAACCGTGTCTGCAAATGTAGTGCAAAATAAAAAGATGATCCATGGCATACTATCGTTACAACGAATCTGAAAACAGTTAAATAATATTTGTTGCAACAAACTTTAGGGGACTTACAAATACGTTTATTGATACAACGCATTTTTGGTGACTTTGGAAAAAGTTCTTTTCACTTGATTATTTTTTTAATGATTTTAAACATCAACGACTGCTGGTTTTTAATTTTTAAATTAAACGCAATATACAGCAGACCTGCCTAAAAATCAGTCATATAGATCATGCTTTTCTTGCATTCTCTGCTTTAAAATTGACTAATCGTCATCTGACAAAAGTAGCTTCAATCTTGCATTCCATCATTTGCACAAGATCTCATTTGGGAAGGATGATGTAAATTTCTAAAATCAATGATGATCAAGGATGATTTTCAAAAAAAACGACTTGGTTTCTAATTTTTAAATTAAAAATGTATTACCGTATTTTCAATTTTCCAAAATTTTAAAAACGAAATACAGACCTGCCTAAGAATCAGTCATATACATCATTTTTCTTACATTCTCAGCTTTTCACTAATTAATTAAGCTTTAAAAATTGACTAATCTTCTGACAAAAGTAACTTAACTTCACTCACACATTCATATTTGTTCAAAATTTCTTCATTTGAGAAAGATGATGAAAAATCTCTTCATTCTCAGATCATGTGTGAAACCACTTTTATTGGAAGTACTGTAAATTTGTCATTAATTAAAGCTTCCACCCATGCTACAAGAACCATCCGGTGATAACATTTGGACTGGCAAAAAATGCACGGTACCAAAAAAATTCGGCGTACAAAGAATTTGGTAGTAGAGAATCTCCATTGAACCGAAAAAATTCATTAAAGAGAAAATCGTTGGAGGGAGTCAACCTGTTTTTTTTTTCAAGGGGGCTAACCTCGAAGTGTCAAATCAATATAGAGCCCGAAAATTGCCTTGCGAAAGAATTTTCACTTCAAAATTCAATAGAAATTGAATCTCCCGAAGATTGAATTGTGAAATGCCATTTCGAATGATAGCTGAAATAAAATATTTTCGATTACGCCCTTGACACGTACCTAACTTCAAGCTATTCGGAATTGGCAAATCGTGCGGAACTATATGCAGCAAACCTCTAAATTGAATCACATTTGAACTATCATTTAAGAAAGCCGAATGTCGATACTTTCTTGGTGTGCATTTTTCCATCGAACTTCAAATCGGATAAAGCCGAGTTTCAGTTCATTAATTTTAGATCAGGAGAAAATTTTGATTTGATACTTTGAAAATGGCTCGCAGCATTTTACTCGGGTTTGTGACAAACTACAAATTTCCACTTTTTTCCCGTGAAGCCGCTTCAGGTTCAATTTTTGAAAAGGTTGATTGCTGAATATCGAAGAATATATTGTTTTCAACGCCGAATACGTTACGTACGTATTATACCGAGAAGATATTCAACGTCTTCATGCCCGAAGTTCTTCAATTTTAAACGTTCACTGCATAGATGTCGCCTGACGCGAAGTTTGAAAATACTGTACCATACCATACTGCTTAGTACAGTAACAATAACATTTCTACATTGAAATCCAGGGGACTAGGATTTGTTTATAATTAAGCTTTCCTTTTTTGTAAGAAAAATAATAAAACGAAAAAATAAATTTCTTATCTTTTCAGACTCAAACTGCTGAATGAGATTACAGGATTCCAAAATTGAAACAAGGTTAAAGTGGCCCACTTTGACGCTGAATTCCTAGAAAAAACTGAATTAATTTTTTTATTTTTCTTTCAATACCAGGTGTACATTATTTCCTTAAATTCAAGAAAAGGCATGGATACATAAAAATAGAACGAAGTTGAGAGTGCATTAAATTATAATCTATTATAATATAATGGGGAATGTAGGTTGTATTCGTGTCCAAAGTCGAATTCTAGTTGTCTTCGAAAAATTGCGGGTTTTCATTCAATGAAGAGGGGGTGGGTATTTTATTCAAGGAAAGAATTTTATCGGAGTGTTGGGCAAAAAATCAGGGTACTCATCAGGGAACATACTGTATTACTCAAGTATATACAGGACAGGTGGTACCTCACAATTTGATCCTATAATCCATTGTTGGACTGGATGAATTGCAAGACACTTTGTAAACTTGAGAAATATTAGCACAAAAATGCCAACAAATTGGCAAAAGCAGGTCAAACTCTGCTGGGACAGAGGTCAAATTATAAGTCAACCTTGCTGCAAATCTGACCCATCAAATTGTGGGATGGTTGAATTGCGGGAGGTCAAATTTCAAGGTACCACCTGTCCTTAACTAGCCTTTAATTGGGGGGTTTAATTCGATCCCAAGAATACCGTACAGTACAATATATAGAATTGTTTTCGCCCCTATCTCAGCGACATCTACCTGACATTATCTCGACCAGAAGCGCACATCATGATGTCCAGAATCGTGCCTGAGATACCTTTTATATGTAATGTACTGTACTGTACTGTACTGTACAGGGATAACCTATTTTTCATCCAAATACAGTCAACCCCCGTCTAACGGACTTGATTTGTGCAAGGGGCGAGTCTGTTAGATGAAAAGTCCTTTACACAAATTCAATTACATAAAAAATTAAAAATTTCAATTTTCAACACTAATTTTAAACCAAAAGAAGTCTGTTTGGCGGATTTTTTCTGTTGGGCAGGAGGAAAAACTGCTTGCAGAGCTGGTCTGTTTGGTGAAAATCCCTTACACAGGAGGTCTGTTAGGCGGGGGGCCACTGTAGTGTGTCTCTCATATCTCACCAACGACGGACGGTTCCAGGTCAGCATAGATGGCCCTGGGCACGTGTTTCCCGGCTGCGGTCTCATTGAAGAAGGCCATGTAGGTGTCGTCCCCGTTGCCGCCGTTGAAGGGACGCTCCCCGTTGATGGCCGCCGCCTGCTTCAGACTGCGAATCTCGGCAGCATCGTCAGCCAGATGCCCGTCTGGCTTGATGCCGTGCTCCAGACAGTACAGCTCCCAGCAGGAGTTGCCCATCTGCACGCCGGCCTGTCCGATATGAATCGACACGCATTCCCTCTGCAAATATTAAATAAATAAAAAATGATTAATAATGTGATTAGTCGATGAGAAAAAAAACACGCGCAGAAATAATGCCATCCAAGGAATTTCTCTCGACTGTTATCAGTTGTCTGCGAGCTGCATGTGGATTGCAGAAGTTTTTAACCAGTCTGCAGGACATTTATTTCATAATATAGTGATACCCCAAGATGTGGACATAATTGGAGCATCAAGAGTGTCCATAAGTAAAAATGTCCCCAAGTTGAGTATCTTTCTTTTATACTTGCATTATATAATTTATAATCGGTGTTTATTCATGGACAAAATACTATGAAAATAAAAATTGTCTCCCAATTTAAACAGATTCAATCGATATATTTGAACACAAAATGGACATTTGGGGAATTCAATACTGATACCTCTGTACAGTACTGTATATTGAAATGTTGACATTCTCTGTAAAAATAACATTCAAGTGAAAAAGAGAGAAAGAAGTCCCTCTATGCTGGAGTTAATTTTTTTAATTAGCTAAATGGAAGGTAAATTGGTGAGAGAAATGCCCAAGAACTTTTCTTACATCAATTTTAGGGTTGGAAATATCTGATCCTTGTAATTTGGCCTGAAACGTATTTGCAATTTTATCACAAAATGTCCCTATGTAGAGTCAGTGTCCTCATGTCAGGTCTTTTTTATTATTTTTTATGTGAAAATAAGTGTCCCTATGTCAAATTGTCTGCATGTCACGGTGTCCACATGTGGGGGTCTCACTGTATATGTATCAAAGGTAGTAATAATGAAATCTGAAACTTCAGAAACAAATTTTGTCAAGGGTAATTTGAAAGTTTGCTTTTCTCCTAATAACACTGCAGATAAGTTTTCTACAGTATCTTTCCTGAAGCTTAACTTTCTATACTTTTCTGAAGACATTCCACCATGATGCTTCATTGTTTCTCAGATTAATTTTTGCAACACCAAAAATCAGAACACTACCTTAAATTTAACTATATTTTAATCAAAACCTGGCGTCGCCTTTCTGTACAGTATTATTGCTGTACAGTACCGTACTCCTAAAATTAAGTGAGAAATTCAGTCTCAACACAACCCCTTCGGCAACCCACTCAAACACCTACACTAGAGATCCTTCAAAGGAATCGAGAGCAAAAGGTCGTTCAGCTATGGCTTCAGTTTTATTACTCATAATGGATACTTGTAAGTCATTATTGTTCTCTTCCTTCCGTTTACTGTTAGAATAAGTTCTTCCTTTTATACAAGTTTAAGTGATGGCACATAAATGTGTGAATGTCTGGACAATCAATCATCTGTCCTTGGTACATCAGTGGTTTCAGTCCAAAATGTTTTGCGCTCGTCCACGAATAAATTGCTTCCCGCACAGCAGCTGTACAATTTAGACCGAGTGTCAGGTGGTGAAGTACCAGTACAGTACTTCCTTTTTTTTATCTTTCCCACAAAAATTCCCCGATGAGAATTTGGTGTGAGTGCATTTGGGAAACCTTAAGTGTCTACATCTATAGTTGAGGCATATAATATATTCATCAGTAATCTGTATACAAAAGCAGCAGGAACACTGATCATGTCGATAACTGACTCAGCAAGGCATGACACAAACGTTGAAGCGACATCTATGTCGATGTGACGCACCGCGGAGCGACGCATGAAGGTGTCTTCAGATTTTTGAAAATTTGTAAGGCACCATCATGTGTTTCTTCTTTTCAATTGCAGAGAAAACATTTTACAGTTATAACATCAGCTTAAATCTATCTTCTCGTTAGATGAACATGCTCGTAATTTAAGCTTTGCAAATTTAGAATGTTTTTTTGTTGAATAAGAGAAGAATAACGGCGGACCGTCTTCATTCAACATATTTTTTTTAAGCGTATACTTCAAATTATGAGACTTCAATTCAAAAGATTTAAAAAATTAGGTTTTACCTGCATGTTGAACTCGTTCATGAGTATATACCGGGGAGCCGAATCTCAAATAAAATATGCCGGGAAAAATTGAATGACGCAAAGCAAGAGTCGCACGAGCATAAACAAATAAACAAAATAGACAAAAGGTGGAAATATACAGGAAGGGTAAAAAAAAAGGGGGAGGGACGAGACGTTTGACGAACGAATGAAAAAGAATACAAATGAAGTGAACCACTTCTCTCTCAAATTTCGGTAAACGTGCGACTTCCTCCTAACCTTTAATGATTTTTTCTCCTCAGACAAGACGTGGGAAAGGATAATTTACTCAGCTTCCTTGGCACTGAAATATTTATGGTTGAGGAGTTCTCCATATATTCATGTAATAAGGTTGACGTTTTTAGGGGCTTTACATGAGGAGCTAACTCTTTTGTGACAACGTAGCCAACTTAGAGGTCCGAAAAGCTATCATTTTAAGGCCTGAGGTACCGTGACGCACAGATTTATTCTATGGTAAAAGATCCCGAGGCACAAAAAAAGATGCATGTGACATTTAAATGTTATCCAAGTTAAGATACAAATTCTTCATAACAAGTGAAAAGAACCGACAATTTTAGAGTTCATGTGTCCAGACAAAGAGGTGAATGATCCCTTCCGACATTTTTCTTTTTTTAGTGATGGTCAACTCTGGACGAGGAAGGCGTGACGATGACCATCAGATCCTTCTTTTGATACACATCTTGTATATAAAGACGCTGTCAAAAATATATACATATATACCAGATTTCTTATCGAGATCTTTGCTTCCGGACGCGACTTTTCCGAAATTTGCCAAGGGGAATAACGAGGCGGGGGAAATTTTGAATGAAAAGCCCTCATCGCTGTTTTTAAAATGGGAAACGCTTAAGGAATTTCATTTTTTTCATAATGGTTTTGGGTTATTCCGTTTATTCATGTTTATTTTTTTTAATTAAAGACAAATCGAGAGAAGTCTTCGACATCTGTGAGAAATAACTGCGTCAACAATTCCGAAAAATTCGCATATGATTTAGGTGGGAAGTCTTGAAATTCGACTCACATCACATGTCACTATAATTTTTCGCCTTCCTTCAAGTGCAGCAGGAAAGTTATCATTCGTCCAAAAAAATCTTGTGGATTCATTTGATGAGCGTTTTTCATGATAGTTTTGGGTTCCGTTTATTCATGTTTAATTCTTTTTAATAAAAGTCAAATCGAGAGAAGTATTCGACAATGTGTGTGAAAAAAACAGCGTCAATAATTCCGAAAAATTGCACACATATAAGTTAGGCGGGAAGTCTTGAAATTCGACTCACATGTCACTTGATTTTTTGCCTCCCTCAAGTTCAAAAAAGTTTTCATCATTCGTGCAAAAAATGCTTTTGGATTCCTTTGATAATGAGCGTAAGATTCGATTTTAAAGTTAGAACAATTTATATGCCAAAAGGATTTGAGTTTTCATTCTAGAGTAGATGGAGGCTTCTAAAAATCTGCACTTACGCTGGTCTTTAGAGGTATATAAGTACATTATTCCAACTGCAAAAATCCCCGAAATGTACTCCTCGATTGAGAAAACACTGTTGCATCGGTTGAATCTCCAGGCTTTTCGATAGTAAAATTCCGGACTCCATGGCACTGACACAGATTTATTCTATGGTAAAAGATCCCGAGGCACAAAAAAAGATGCATGTGACATTTAAATGTTATCCAAGTTAAGATACAAATTCTGCATAACAAGTGAAAAGAACCGACAATTTTAGAGTTCATGTGTCCAGACAAAGAGGTGAATGATCCCTTCCGTCATTTTTTTTTTTTTTTTTTTAGTGATGGTCAACTGTGGACGAGGAAGGCGTGACGATGACCATCAGATCCTTCTTTTGATACACATCTTGTATATAAAGACGCTGTCAAAAATATATACATATATACCAGATTTCTTATCGAGATCATTGCTTCCGGACGCGACTTTTCCGAAATTTGCCAAGGGGAATAACGAGGCGGGGGAAATTTTGAATGAAAAGCCCTCATCGCTGTTTTTAAAATGGGAAACGCTTAAGGAATTTCATTTTTTTCATAATGGTTTTGGGTTATTCCGTTTATTCATGTTTATTTTTTTTAATTAAAGTCAAATCGAGAGAAGTCTTCGACATCTGTGAGAAAAAACTGCGTCAACAATTCCGAAAACTTCGCAAATGATTTAGGTGGGAAGTCTTGAAATTCGACTCACATGTCACTATAATTTTTCGCCTTCCTTCAAGTGCAGGAAAGTTATCATTCGTGCAAAAAATTCTTGTGGATTCATTTGATGAGCGTTTTTCATAATGGTTGTGGGTTCCGTTTATTCATGTTTAATTTTTTTTAATAAAAGTCAAATCGAGAGAAGTATTCGACAATGTGTGTGAAAAAAAAACAGCGTCAATGATTCCGAAAAATTGCAAAAATATAATTTAGGCGGGAAGTCTTGAAATTCGACTCACATGTCACAGGAATTTTTCGCCTCCCTCAAGTGCAGAAAAGTTTTCATCATTCGTGCAAAAAATGCTCGACCTAAGGAAACTATTACTCGCATTCTAAGCTAAAATTTCAATCTTGTTAAATATACGGTTTTCCTAAACTCAAAAGTAAGATCTCATCTACCTCCGAAGATTTTTAGACGTGAATGCGACCAGAAATTCTTTGTCAAAAAAGTTTTTCAACGAATTCATCGACATGTAACAAATTTACGGAAATTACTTGAAGGCATGCTGTTTCTAATTGATGTAATAAATGTTTAAAAAATTGTAGAGTTGGTGATTATGTTGAAATTTTCATATCGTATTTCCTCGCTGCATTGAATTGCTTCTCGGTTGAAATTTCCGCAATACTGTTGACCCAGTTTTGTAGAGTCACGCCAAAAAAAATTTTCTTGCAATAAGTACTTGGCTGTTACATGCTTTCAGTACACGAAGGTTGTTGCTTTTGAAGCATCAATCACCGAGATTTTATGGCCTCAAACCACGTTTACGTACTTTCAAAAATTCCCTTCTGTGGAACGAAAAAAAAAAAAACGTGTCGGGGATTCGGTTCGTGAAA